ATTTACTCCGCCACGTCTTAGTGACTTGACCTTTAATAGAGAGAGTTCGAAACCTTTGTGTGGTGAAGAACTAGAGAACGTTACAGCGAAGAGTTACCTCAGCTGACTGTTTGTGTGAATAAAGCTGGACTATCTGTAATGAACTAATGGGTATTCGTTTGGTATCTCTACGTGTAAGTGACATCAGCCAAGCGAGACGATGTTCCCCGATCCCCGAACTTAACGCCTGTGTTCACAGCAATATTCTGCCTATCATTAATGGAAAGTCGTTCATCCTAAACGAATCCGTTACAAAATCATAAAATCCATCCTGGCAGTCAGCCAAGTGTGTGTGCTCTGGGAAAATAAATATTCTAATTTGCGATAATTAATTAAATCATGATGTGATTTGTTTTTAAGTATCTTCAATTTAAGGCAAATTGTCCCGTTTTAAGTACAGAACATGTTCAAAATTAGACGCAGCAACCGATCAAGAGATTGTCGCCACGCGGGTGACAAATTGTATTATGATGGTCATGGGTGACCAAACATGTCATGTGATATTTTTCACAATAATTAATATTACATATCACAGAATACATCCTTTGACCCTTTGAATTATTGGGCCATTCACGGCGATCAGTGGTGTAACTGCCCCCTCATCGGCAAACTAATAGAAACAAAACGAAAGCAACCTTATAAAATTGCCATTTGATTTTGATCTTTCTTACACGTGACATTTACCGGTCACCACTCAAATCGTTTGTGAATAGTTGCTCATTTGCCTTCAGCGTAAGCGCCCTCACATTACCGGCCAGATTATGGCTTGTAATGATTGACATGTCTTTTATGTTTCAACCAATCAGAAGGCAGGCTAATTAACATATCAACTGAGACCCCGGAAATCATATACACTTTCTTGGATAAACTTAGATCCCGAAAACTTGCGTTCTCGTAGAAACGATGGTTGTTTTACTCAACTTTGTTGGCGTCAACAACGTGGTAACATAGCGCGAGACGAGTAAACACAGGCACGTGCAATGTCTGGTTTATTGTTATTATCCGTGGCTCGGCTGCTCCACCCACCGTATGACAAATATGCAAATATGGCAAGTCTGTTAGAATTTCGCGGTCACATGACTTTCGCGTTCACCCCTCGTTTACGCAATTTATATTTATTTTTCAAAAAAATTTCATCGGAATCGCAACAGACAGCAAGCAAGTCTAACTTCTATGCTTCAAACTACCTGTGTCAAAAAATAACAAAAAATAGATCATGGGAACAGCATAAGCGACCAGTAGTATTTTATATAGTTTTAAAATTCGACTCCAAAACAATTTGTGTTTTTGTTGTACAATTTATTTTTTGAAAAGCAAACGAAAAAATAAAAATATTTCTAGCGACCTTGTTTTATGACAGGGTTGACTAACTAGCATACGCCTCTATGTCTTTCCTTCCAAGCACATTCTGCGTTCTCTTATTCTGGAGATTTGGCTGTAGTTATCTAAGATATATGACATTTGTAAAAAGCCGGAACGTAAAGAGTATCAACAACAAAAATGGGGCGTGGGAAAAACTTGGGACAATCATTGATTGGTCAGCTTTAACTTTGGGCGTGTTCTGTCAAATTGTGTGTGTTTTTCTTTACAACTTGACAAGTTGCCTTAAAATTGCCGGAAAATCGGAATACCTAAACCTTAATAACATCATGATTTAAATAATTATTGCAAATTATAACATTTAGTCCTTTGGAGAACGCCCCTGTGACCGACCCTGTTAGAGTTTAACAACTTAAAATCTATGGTAGGCTGAATATTAGAGGAAACAGATTTTAAACTCAAATTCATAAAAACGAATTAGCCACAACGAACTTATACTTGTATACATGTACATAGACACTTACAAACCAAAATATACTAAGTGAAACAAAATTCAATCACACTCCATACCGCCCCATAATGGGCATAATCCATTCCTAAACAAATGCATTCGCATTTCTCTTGATGTCGCTTTACAATCACACTTTCAAATCTGGCACTGGTACGTACCGTAATGGTGTAAGGTCGCTTATCGCAGTAGTGTTGTTGAACGTAAATGGTGTCACGTGATAGTTTACATTCAGTACTCGGCTATTGATTCATTTTTCCAAAGTAAAAAGAAATAAACGTGGACTAATCATGTTTGCGTTGGTAAGAATCAAAACACTCAAATATATAAAGGCTGTGTTATGTAATATGTGATATCGATTATTCTCGATCATTATGCAATAGCCGGGATTGGACAACTATTCTTTTGAAATATCGAATAATAATAATAATAATTTCGCAGCATGGACCCATTCAGCCAAGCAGTGGAGGGCGTCAGCGTACTTCACAGCAACCCGGACAGTCAAATGGATGAGTCCAGACGTTCTTTCAAAAACATGCATGTATGTAAAATTGTTTTGTTGCCATCATTCTAGCATTGCCTTGTTCTTATTTCCCGCAACGCTCTACCAAGCATACATTACTGTGACCTATTTATATTTACTACAAGATCAGTCTTTCAGTTCTAATGTTCAGTTATTTCGATTGAAATCACTAATTTCCAAGTCAGTTTGTACAATCCGTCATAGCCATGTGTAAGTGAATGAAGGTGAAAAATAGAGGTTATATTTCCGGGAATTAATTTCTTAACGTTTTGAGTGTAATATTAAACTATAAAACAACGACCCAAAATGTTGTTTCAAAATCTCAAAATTTTCAATGCATTGTGCCATCCTTTTTGTGAAATAGTCTCAACTCCTCCCACCTCGGCGCGGAGCCAAGATATACCAAGGGCAATAGGGAAAAAGTGTTGGATCAGTGATACATTTTGTTTTGAGAGATTTGGGGAATAATGTGAACGTAACTAGCTATTAGCAAAATAATAATTAATAATAATATATGTAATAAATATATGCACCAACTGAATACTGACGCATGTGGTGTGAATGGAGCAAACAGAGCCGCCACCAACGAAAACTATTGCGCGCGCTTCCACGTCACCATTACGCGAATAGACGTGGTATGGCACAGCGCATTCAATTTTCGGACTTCTCGTACGCGACCATTAGGCCAAAAAAAAATGTTTTGTTGCCCTCAGCGACCGACCGAAAAATATGAAATATCGCGTCGCGTTTTTCCCATATACCTCGGCTATTTACGATACCCTTAGTTTTCAATTTTCCGACTTGAGGGCAACATAAGTTTTTGTTGGCCTTATTTTTGGTATTCATAGAGGACGGTCGAAATCCAAATAACGAAATCCTCATTATTGTAGTGCAAAATGGTACGTAATTTGTATGTGCTGGTTTTGAAAAATAGATTGAAATCCCGCCTTCACGGACTTTCGAGCATCATGGCCGGACTACACTACAGTTGTATTTCCAGTATTAACCCACAGGACATCCTGGTTATATCAAGGTAGTGAAAGGTCACGCACGGCTAGTCAGATTAAGTTTGACACAAGTATACTGTGTATCGGAACATAGGGGTGTCGGAACATAGTGGTATCGGAACATAGAAATGTCGGAACATAGGACAGTCCCCAATTTAAAATCAGGGGCGGTAGACAAAAGTGCCTGGGTTAATACAATACTAGAAATAATACATGAATATTTTCCTTCTTGGATCAAATGAGTTATTAAAAACATTGTGGTCAGAAAAAAAAAAAAAAACATTATTACACGCACTTTTTTTGCTTTTTATTATCTTGTCTTGGCTCTAGACTGTTAAAATTTTGTAGAATTGTGAATATATACTCAAAAACCGATTTTAAAATGTAGATAACAGGTGCAAACATTATCTCTTTTGAATGCTTAGCAAGATTTAGCAAGGCTGTACATAAATAATAAAAAAGAAACATGGTGAAAAAAAGGAATGACGGGATCTCCATATTATACACTATATTTAATTTTTAACAAAACAATAATATATTTAAATTTTGAACTGTTACAGCCATTTTTTTAATGAGCATTAGCAAACTTTTTACTGAGTGTATTGTTATGCAAACTAGCAATTATATCAGCTTCTTTTTTAGTGCACATCCAAGAACTTTTAAAATAAATAGCTAATAGACGCTTTGACCTTTTGTTTTGAAATTTCCACAAATGATTGACAATGTGTTTATCTTCAAAACTCCGTCGGGGCATTGTTTTTGGTTGAACAGTGTTACGACAATCGTACAGACAACTAGCCTGGGTGTTAATTTATACATAAACTTGAAGTCGTGAAATTTGAGCTGCTGCCCTGCAAAAATTACAACTGGTAG